TAAATTAGTAGATAATTATGATTCAGTATGTAAACCAGAATGTGAAAAAACATATAAACTATTAGGTAAACTAATAGGTAAAATAGTAAATAAACTAATAGTTAAACAAGTCAGTGAAATAACTTATAAACTAAAAGGTAAACTAAAAATTATTTTAGCTACTAGTTTACCTATTAGTTTATCAGTTATTTACATTTATTAGTTATCTGCTTAACTATTTTATTTATTTATTATTTTAGGTAAAATTACTGGTAAACTTATAAGTAAACAAGCAGGTAAAATTACTCACAAACTAATCAGTAAACTAGTAGGTAAATAATAATTAAACTAATATGTAATTATAATTACTTAGTAGGTAAATTTCTAGGTAAATTAACTAATCAGTAAACTAGTAGGTAAATAGTAATTAAACTAGTATGTAATTATAATTATTTAGTAGGTAAAGTTCTGGGTAAATTAACTAATAAACAAACTAGTAAGTAAAATAATAAATAAACTAGTAGGTAATTAAAATTATTTAGTAGGTGAACTAGTAGGTAAATAATAATTAAACTAATATGTAATTATAATTACTTAGTAGGTAAATTTCTAGGTAAATTAACTAATCAGTAAACTAGGAGGTAAATAGTAATTAAAATAGTATGTAATTATAATTATTTAGTAGGTAAAATTCTAGGTAAATTAACTAATAAACAAACTAGTAAGCAAAATAATAAATAAACTAGTAGGTAATTAAAATTATTTAGTAGGTAAACTAGTAGGTAAAATAACTAGCAAACAAGTAGGAAATTAAGTAGGCAAAATAACTAGCAAACAAATAGGTAAACCAGTAGGTGAATACCTGATAAACTAATAGGTAAATTAGTAGGGTAGTAGATGAAATGGTTTTTAAAGAAGTAGGTAAATTAGTAGGTAAATACCTAATAAACTAATAGGCAAACCAGTAGGCTAGTATGCAAAATAACTAGCAAACAAGTAGGTAAACTAACAGGTAAATATAAACCAATAAGTAAACTTTTATGCTAGTAGGTAAAATAAAAGATGAACTAGTAGGTAATTATAATTAATTCTTATTAATTATAATAAGTAAATAATAATAAACTAGTAGGTAATCCAATGAAACTAGTAGGTAAACTTAAACTAGCAGTATAATATCCTTAATTTGTAAAAGAAATAATCAAAAATAATATTTAATGGCAATAAAAAAAATTGTTTTTTTACTTTCTAATGTCAATTATTATCTACTTTGATTTGTCATTTATTGCTAGGTCGGCGAACGTGTTTGTGCCACTTTGTTTTGTAAACATCCGGATATAAACCAGGGTTCGAGAGGCGTCTGCATGTCAAAATCTCCAGCTGCTGAAGGATCAATATGTGGCGACAATAAAGTAAAATAAAAAATTTAATTTCCAGCTTAAAAAAAAACCGAAGTAAAAAAAAATTGTTTTGTTGAAAAATTGTAAATATTTACAGAAAAAGGAATTTTTATTTTAGAAAATAATTTAATTATTTTAAATAATTAATGCACTTCATTAAATTTAATTAATTAAATTAAGACAATTTAATTAATTAAATTATTATTATTTAAATGCAGATTGGTAAATTAATTAATTTGATAAAATTATATTATTTGTTTAAAATTGATTAAAATTAGTGAAATTAATTTTATTAAATTGAATTAATTTTATTATTTTTATTAATTTAATTAATTTAATTAATTTTATTAATTTTATTAAATCAATTAATTTTTATGTCTAAATATTTTTTTCAGATCTGCCTCAATGGGGAATGTGTCGGTAAATTTTCATATTCAATACCTGGTGTGATTAGTTACTACTAAAAATTACTAAAACAAAAACAAAACAAGGGAAAAAGAAGGAAAATGTAAACAATGGATTCTCGCAAAAAATAAAATATAGTATTAATATTGTATATAATATATTGTTAAAAAAACGAAAAAAAAATAAATATTATAAATTGTTTTTTCTTTAATTTAAAAAAATAATGTTTTCTTAATTTACCTAATTATAATAATAATTATTATTATTATTATTATTTATTGTTCCATAGTTAAGGTCAAAGAATTATTATTATTATTATTTTTATATTATTTTTTTTGAAACGGAAAATATCCGCAGTCGAGAAGAATTGAACCCGCGCCCTTGCTGTTGCGAGTCCAGTAGTAATAGCCACTTAGCCATCTCACATATAACAAAATAACAATTTTTTAAATAAAATTTACATGTATCAATAATAATTTTATTAATAAAATAGCTATTTTCAATACAAAGAATATTTTTTTTGTTAATAAAATTAATTTTTATAATAGTAATTATTTTTTTAAATAATTTTTTAAAAAATTTTTTTAAAAAAAGAATTAATTTTTAATTAAAATAAAAGTACTATTTCTACATTTTCACTGCATCAAAAGACATAATTTTTGCCTTGTAAAAATTTTGTTATTTAATTAACAAAATGAATTTTAGTGTTGACATATTTAAAACAAATTTACAAAGTGACGTTAGTAATATGGTTTGCACCGATAAATACAAACAATTCACGAAACCACATCATCTTAAAATTTATTAAACCACGTGTTTTAATTAATAATAATAATAAAATTACATTTAAAAAATTCTGACGTTTTGAAATTTATTCATTAATAAAGATAAGATAATTTAAAAATTAAAATAGTTTACACAAATGTCGACACATTTTTTTATTAATGTTACCTTTTTTTCTATTTGCTCAAATGTTTCAATTCCTTTTTTTTTCATTAATTCATGGAAAAAAAGGAAATCTATTATACTTTGCAATTCATTTTTTTATTACCTATACTTTGTAATTCCTTTTTTTTATTAAAATTATACTTTGCAATTCCTTTTTTTATTATATGATATTTAGCAATTATTCCTTTTTATTATTATTTGAAAAGGAGGAAAAAAAAAATTTTTTTTGCATTAAACATTTTCTGGTTTTATGCCAGTTTCATTTTAATTTATTAACATAAATAAATAAATAAAAATAATAATAATATGAATAATTAATTATTGTAAAAATTATTAATAAAGGAAATTTTTTTCTTTAATCAAGTGTTTATCTCGTGCGTGTTATTAAAAGGGATAAATATTAAATAAAAAAGCATTAGTGAATCCGGAAAAGAAAAATTGTGTGAGTATATTTTATTGTTCTCGTTATTCTATTTTTTTAAATAAACAAATTCAATAAATAATTAATAAACAATTGAATTAAATAAATTCACAATTTAATGAAGTAGTAAAAAATGGAAAAATATAAATATAAGAAATAAACAAAAAATTGTTTGTTTAATAAATAAATTTTAAAAATAAAAAATAAATAAATTTAATAAACAAATATTAAAAAAAATATATAAAAATATAATTATAAAAAAAACATAAGAATCTATTTGTTGAATAAACAAATTTATTAAATAATAAATAACTAAATAAATAAATTTAGTTTTTAATCAATAAATAACCATTTTAATTAAACAAATTTATTAAATATTAAATAAATAAATTTAATAAACAAATAGTAAAGAAATAGAAAAATATAATTATAAAAAATAATTTGTTTAATAAATAAATTTAGTAAATAAATAAATGACCATTTTAATTAAACAAATTTATTAAATAATAAATAACTAAATAAATAAATTTAATAAAACATAGTAAAAAAAATAGAAAAATATAATTATTAAAAATAATTTGTTTAATAAATAAATTTAGTAAATAAATAAATGACCATTTTAATTAAACAAATTTATTAAATAATAAATAACTAAATAAATAAATTTAATAAAACATAGTAAAAAAAATAGAAAAATATAATTATTAAAAATAATTTGTTTAATAAATAAATTTAGTAAATAAATAAATGACCATTTTAATTAAACAATTTCATTAAATAATAAATAAAAATTCTAAATAAATAAATTTAATAAACAAATAGTAAAAAAATAGAAAAATATAAATTATAAAAAATAATGAAGAATTTATTTGTTGAATAAATAAATTTCGTAACTAAATAAATAATCATTTTAATTAAATAAATTATGAAATAATAAATCAATGAATGAATATAATAAATAAATATAGTAAAAAAGTAGAAAAATATGAATAAAAAAGTAAATAATAATTTTACTTGTTTATTAATTAAATTTAATAAATAAATTTAACAAAGAATAAATAAATAAATAAATATATTTAAATAAATGAAAAAATGCAATTATATAAATAATTATATAATTAAAGTTAGTCTAATCGTAATTAAAATTATTCTAATTGTAATTAAAACTATTTTAATTGACGTTGCAATTAATCTAAATTTTATTTACAAATAACTACTTAATTTTATCTTATTTTTATCTGCATTTTTGAATAATTTTAATTGATATAAAAAAGTATAATTTTTTATTTAAAAAAATGCTTTTTTCAAGTGAAAAAAATTAAAACTGAAAAAAAATTTTTTTTTCTGTTTAAAAAAAAAGTTTTCTTTTCTTTAATTAAAAAAAATTACAACTGTGATTAAAAATATATTTTTTATTTTCAAAAAAGTTTTTTTTTCTTTAATAAAAAAAAATTACAACTATATGATTAAAAATTTACAAATTTTTATCAATGAAGAACAAAAATTTTCCATGAATGACGCAAAAAACAAAATGGAATTAATGAAAAGTTTTAAATATAAAAATAATATATACAAAAAAAAACATTTTCTTAGAAAAAAAAAAATATTACACAATTGACGAAAGAACAATATGCAAATAGAATAAATACTCTTTCTCGTAAAATTATTATTGATAATATTAATATTTGTTTTATCATTCTACGTAAGATAAGCAATAACTTTTTTCTTATTTACTATAATAATAGTTATTATTATTATTATTATTGTAATTATTATTATTATTATAATTTTATTACTCCATTAAATATTGGTAACATAAATTAAATAGTGCCATATCTAATAATGCGAGGCCAAGTGAAACATAATAAAAGAATTTTTTTTTACTCTAAAAATAAAATTAAAGTTTTTGAAAATAATTTTGAAATAATTTTCTTTTTTAATTTTTAACAGATCAAAAAAAAAAAAAATGTATCCCCTTCTAATTTGTTTATTCGCTATACTGTCGACTTCCGTACATTCCCAAGAGGTGAGTAAATAATTAATTAGCTATTGTTCTTTTATTCTAATAAAAAAATTAATATAATTATAAATAATCACAATTTAAATTTTATGGTGTAGTATATGTACTATATATTTTAGTACTTTGGTCTATTTTGTAAAAGTTTTTTTATAGTAGCTTTGTAGTACATATACTTAATAGTAATTTTTTAATTTTTTTTTTAAATTTTTAAAGTTTTAAATTTTTTACAACTAAATAGTATTTTGTAGTATATTATTATAGTATTCTTGTAGTACATGTTTTATAGTATATTTAATAATTTATAGTATTTTGTAGTATTATAGTACTCTTGTAGTACATGTTTTATAGTATATTTAACAATTTATAGTATTTTGTAGTATTTTTCTGGTATTCTTGTAGTACATATAGTTTATAGTATGTTTATAATATTTTGTACTATTTTTTATAGTAATTTTTTAGTATACTATATAGTATACTACAAAGATACTATAAAAAATTCTACAAAATACTACAAATATATAACAAAAATACTGTAAAAATACTACAAAATATTTTTGTATTATTATGTAGTATTTTTATAGTATTATTATAATAAAGACTACAAAAAATACTACAAAGTACCACAAATATATAACAAAAATATTTTAAAGATATTTTGTAGTATTTTTTAATTTTTTATTGTATGTTTATAGTATATTTTATAGTATTTTTAGCTTATTATTGAGTAAAAAAATTAATAACAATAATAATAATGATAGTACTAATAAAAATACTAAAATAATAATAATAATAATAAAAATACAAATAAAAAAAAATAAATAATAGTAATAATCATAATGATAATAATAAATGTTAATTAGCAATTAATGCAAATTGTCCACTTTAGTTTAAAAATAAACTTATACTTAATTTTTTATACCACACCATAAAACTTTATTGAACATTTAAAATATTTTGATTTTATTGAATGAGTGATTTTTATTTTCGTAACAGTTACACGAAACCTTGACACGTGATGACGTGATGAAAATTTGTCAAGCACCCAATGACACAGGTATTGAAAAAAAATTTTTTTTTCCTTTAATTTACACTTGCGCTCCATAAAAATTTGTTTAAAGAAAAAAATTAAAATATTGCATAATTTACTATTTTTATATAAACATTATTTAACTATTTTAGAAATAATATTAATAATATTAAAATTACTTTTTAAAATAATTTTATTATAAGAAAAACAATGATCATAAAATAAATCAAATTAATTTTTTAAAAATATTTTTATTACAATAACAATTAATGAAAAAAAAAGTAAAAAATGTTTAAAAATATTTTTATAATAATTAAAATAAATGATAATATAGTAAGTAAATAGTAATAATAATAATAATAATAATAATAATAATAATAATAATAATAATAATAATAATAATAATAATAATAATAATAATAATAATAATAATAATAATAATAATAATAATAATAATAATAATAATAATAATAATAATATAATAATAATAATAATAATAATAATAATAATAATAATAATAATAATAATAATAATAATATAATAATAATAATAATAATAATAATAATAATAATAATAATAATAATAATAATAATAATAATAATAATAATAATATAATAATAATAATAATATAATAATAATAATAATAATAATAATAATAATAATAATAATAATAATAATAATAATAATAATAATAATAATAATAATAATAATAATAATATAATAATAATAATAATAATAATAATAATAATAATAATGAGGGTAAACTCTGTGAAGAGATACCAGGATGCACTCCCTTGCGGAAACTTCCTGCTATCTTGGAGAGACACATCGACCTCCACGTCCGAACATACATGTTCACGTGCCCTTGGATATCATAGACGTCGCATCAATGCTCCGGCAATGCTATAACGTTTATGTAACTAACGGAGGCGGTTCAGGGCCCATCCTGGCCAGATGGTAGTACCCTGTTAAGGCCCGATTGTCCCTCGACACGGGACAAAGAAATAAAAAAATGAATGAAATGGACAAAATTTTTAATGAAATACTCCAAGTGGGTACCTCGAAAGAGGGTAATCCCACCACCGATTCTGATCGGGTGCAAGCCCCGATAGTCGGTGCAGATGGCTCCAAGGATTTTGGAGGGAGCCAAATAGATAGCCAGCTGACATGCTACGAATCAAATGTCGCAAATCAGTTCCTGGCTATTCCCGGGATTTTTAAGAGCGTGCACCAGGCATTCAAGCGCCAAAAGAACGTCAGTCGCGACATCCAGGATGGCGTGGCGGTTTTGGAGAGTGCGTTCTTAACAATTTGTAGGAATCTGCGTTTTATCCCTGAACCGTTCAGAGATCAGGAGCCACGGATTTCAACTGTGGGAACTCCAAGGCAAAAGAGGAGTGCTGCTGCAACTCTTGATAGTGCAGCAGCTACAGATTCTAATAAGGAAAAGAAGGTGAGTAAGCGCCCCAGAGAAGGTGTAAGCCCGGATAAGAGTCCTCAACAAGTAACTCGGAGCGGAAAGAGGATTAAGCGAAAGGATGCTCCACAGCTTAATTCTGAGTCGCTAGTTGGAGCAAAAGAGGCGCCCTCAAGTAGTCCCAGCAAGACGTATGCTGAGACCGTATTAAAAGACGGAGTGGACAATGAGGACGGCTTTAAGGTTATTGGAAAGAGAAGGGAACGGGCTCCAAGAAAAAAGCCCCCAGGCGAGAAAAAAGAGCTCCCAAAACACCCTTTGAAGCTTAGAACCACGGAAGCGGTAAAGATTACGGCAAGAGACCCAAAATCTTATGAGGGTATCTTGCCGCTGATAAAAGCAAAGATTAAACCAGAAGACACTGGTACCGTAATTCATAAAATCAGGAGAACCTTTAAACAGGAGGTTCTTGTGATAGTGAAAAAGGGTGGAGATACCTTGAAGTTTGCGGAAGCACTGTCCTCGGCTCTGCATGGCGCCTTGCCATGCGACGTCACTGCTCTCGTAAATAAAAGGTCTCTTGAGATCAAGGAGCTGGATGAAACCACGACGGAGGATGAGGTGATTTCAGTTCTGAGAGATAAGCTGGGCAAACCTGATCTGAAGATAGAGTGCCACCTTTTGACGCGCTTTAGAAGTACTAAGGTGGCTCTAATCCGCTTAGCAGAAGCAGAAAGTGACATTCTGCTTAAACTTGGCCGAATCAAAATCGGCTGGATAAACGCTCTAATTCGTGAGCATGTTGAAGTAATTAGGTGCCAAAAGTGCCTAGGTTACGGACACAGAACCCTATTCTGCAAAGGCCCCGACAGAAGTAAAAACTGTCGGAGATGCGGCGGAGAGGGACACCTCGCGAAGAGCTGTAACGTTAAGCCGAAGTGCCTTACATGCTTGGACCTGGGAAAGCCAGAAACAAATCATGAGTCCGGAAAGAGAGCCTGCCCGGTTTACTGGGAAGAACTGCAAAAGATTAAAAAGGCAAATCCTTAAAATTTTTGCAGGTTAACCTGCATACAAGTAAGGATGCACAGTTGCTCCTAATGCAAACGGCAAGGGAAAATAAGGTCGATGTCCTGTTCTGCAGTGAGCAGTATCAAGGAAGCGACCTCGCCCCTTGGTATCAGGATAAGGCGAAGAGAGCCGCCATAAAGCTGTGCAACCCAGAATTGCGGGTTGACAAGTTTCTGGAGACGAGCAGTGGGTTCGTGTGGATAGAGGTAGCTAATATACGTATGTATAGCTGCTACTTCTCACCCAACGACCCACTGACAAACTTCGAAGCCAATATCGAAGACCTAGAAGCGAGCCTCACAGAATCCAGGCTGGATGTCATCATCACTGGCGATTTTAACGCAAAGTCGCCAGAGTGGGGTGAGACGAGACTCGACAAGAGAGGAATTCGTATTGGAGAAATGATCTCCAGAAACGACTTATTAGCTGTGAACCGAGGCAATACATGGACTTTTAGACGAGGTTCGATCGGATCAATTATAGATCTAACGATCGCATCGTCTAAACTATTTAGCCGCATAAGCGACTGGCTGGTCTCAGAGGAATATACCGCAAGTGACCACCAGTACATTGAGTTCTCAGTCTCGATGGGAGGCACACGAGGAGAAAAAAGACAGGATGTTCCTAGTCGCAAAACCTCCTCGTGGAATATGAAGAGACTCGACAAGGAAAAGTTCGGCCGGTCCCTAAGAGAATCCCTTTTGATTGAGGACTTGGGCTGGGTGAAAAGGCCGAGCAGTCTGGATGGGAAGGTGCGAGCGGTGAGAAACATGATAGTCACCGCTTGCAATGCATCAATACCACGCAAAGGCGCCATTCCCGTAAGAAAATCCTTGCACTGGTGGTCAGAGGAGCTAGCCTCCTTGAGGAAGGAATGCCTCAAAGCAAGAAGGACATATACCCGATCTAAGGGAGATCCCTTGCTAAAAGAGGCTTTCAAGGAGGCAAAAAAGAACCTCAAGAAAGAGATCCGCAAGTCGCGACGCCGTAGCTGGAAGGACCTAATCGAGGAAGTCGATAAGGACCCATGGGGTCTGGCTTTTAAAATCGTTACTAAGAAATTAGCGACGAGGCAAAAGACCCCCGGCCTGGACAATCCCGATTGGGTCAGAAAGATAATAAATTCTTTGTTTCCTCCTGCGGAACCATACCTTAGAAGGGACTGGAGTTTTTGCAAAGTCGAAGAGGAGGAACTCTTCACACTTAGTGAACTGCAAAAAGCAGGCAAAAGATTGAAAACAGGCAAGGCGCCTGGAATCGATGGGATAAGTAACGAGATCCTAAAGTTGGTAATCGACACTTCACCCCAGATTCTGCTTCGATGCTTCAATCTTTGCCTTGAGAGAGGAGAGTTCTTCCGCGACTGGAAGCGACAGAGGTTAGTCCTCCTAAGGAAAGGTGAAAAACCTCTAGATAAGGTTTCATCGTACAGGCCTATATGCCTGCTAGATACGATGGGTAAACTTCTAGAGGATATGGTTCTGCAGAGAATGCAAAGCCACTTGACCGAAGAGAATCGTCTATCCGATCACCAATTTGGTTTCCGTAAAGGCAAGTCCACGGTTGATGCCATCCAGGCAGTTGTGGACATAGCCAAAGCAGGAAAAAACAAATTGGGACCTGGGAAAAAGAAGAGCTTCTGCGCGTTGGTAGCAATTGACATACGCAACGCGTTTAATTCCGCAAGATGGAAAGATCTCATCGAGTCGATGGAAAAGAAAAACATGCCGCCCTACTTGTTGCGGATAATGGATAATTATCTTAGCGACAGGTGGGTTATATATGAGGGAGACACCTGCACTCTCAAGGAAGAGATGCAGCGTGGAGCTCCTCAAGGCTCGAGGGTGGGTCCATTTGTATGGAATGTATCTTACGATGATTTTCTGCGAATGGATCTGCCCGAAGGTGCGGTGATCATCGGCTTTGCGGACGACGCGTTATTCGTGTGCACTGCCGAAAGTGAGGAGGCTCTTGGGACATTGGTGAACGAATGTCTGCGACTAGCTAAAAGCTGGCTGGATACCAGAGGTCTTGAAATGGCCCTGGAAAAGACCGAGGCACTGCTGGTCACAGACAGACGTGGTTATGAGCTCCCACGAATCGTGATAGACGGATTCGAGGTCAAGTGGAGTAAGCAAATTAAATATCTTGGTGTGGAGTTAGATGGAAGGTTACACTTCCACCACCACATGGCTACGGCGTCAAATAAGGCGATCGAGTGTGCGGCTAATCTTTCACGGCTAATGCCAAATGTTGGCGGACCCCGTGAACAAAAAAGAAGACTGGTGGCGAGTGTCGCCCACGCTAAAATGCTCTATGCAGCACCAGCGTGGGCCCCATCCCTGAGGAGTAAAAGATGTGTGACCATCTGTGAAAAGATACTGTCTGCGCAGAGATCGATTACAACGCGTATCATCTCTGCATATAAGACGGTATCTACGAGTGCTGTGCAGGTCCTTGCAAGTGTCCCGCCAGCAGATCTTTTGGCGAGGGAAAGGGAAGAAATGTTTCTCTTTTCTAAAGAAAGCAGTTCCTTGAATGAGGAATTAAGACCAAGCAAGGGCCTGATCCGCAAAGAAGCGAGGCACAGGCTCATAGAAAGATGGCAAGAAAGATGGGATGGTGAGGAAAAAGGTCGATGGACTTATCGCCTTATCCCGGCACTCGCCACCTGGATAAATAGGAAACACGGTCAGGTTTCCTATTATATGACTCAGGCGCTCACAGGTCACGGGTGTTTTAACTCGTACCTGTGTCGCTTTAAATTACGCGAGGACAAGGTGTGTGCATATTGCCAGTTCCCTGAGGACAACGCGGAGCACACCCTCTTCTCATGCAAGAATTGGGACTTGGAGAGGCGGGCCATGTTCGAAGGTGTAAACAGTCAAGTTACACCGGAGAACATGGTATCGCTGATGACCCAGTCGGAAGAGAATTGGCGGCAAGTCGAGAACTTCATAATCTCGGTTATGTCGAGGAAGGATCTCGACGGCCGCCAAAAAGCGTAATTTAAACAGCTTTTAATTTTGTTCGTTTGTTTTTTATTAATTTATTTTGTGATTTATTTGTCCTTATACATTTTTTAATTGTTTGTGTTTTTTATTCATCTTTGTACAGTTTTATGTTTTTTGAATTTTTTATACGCGTTTATTTTTTCTTTTTTATATATCCGTTTATAATTTTATCTTCTGACTTTTTACACTTAATTACACATTTGTTATTTTTAAATATTGTTGTGCTGTTAGTTCCGCTTTATAGTGAAATAGTATTAAATTTTTAACTATTAACGCAGGATAACCGCAGAGAAAAGCAGAAAGTCGCATTAGCGACAGAGTTGGAGCGCCACCCTCGAAGGCTAAAGTCTTACGACAGTTCCGAGGGAGGGTAAAGGGCTCCAGAAGAAGGGTTACGGGTTTTAGTGGGTCGGGCCGGTAGTAGGTCGCCAGTGTATTAAATTTAATTTTTATGGATTTATTTTTCTTTTTTTTATATTTCCTTTTGTTTTATCATACCAACCCCACATAACCTTGGAGTGCGGAATCCAAGGTATCTGTAGGCAGATTTCCCAAAAGTCCCTAAGCAAAAAAAAAAAAAAAAAAAAAAATAATAATAATAATAATAATAATAATAATAATAATAATAATAATAATAATAATAATAATAATAATATAATAATAATAATATAATAATAATAATAATAATAATAATAATAATAATAATAATAATAATAATAATAATAATAATAATAATAATAATAATAATAATAATAATAATAATAATAATAATAATAATAATAATAATAATAATAATAATAATAATAATAATAATAATAATAACAATAATAATAATAAAATTTAGAGATATGTAAAAAAATACGTTTATAATTATGTTAAAATTATTCTGTGGATATAGTTTAAGTTTAATTTTTTGTTTAAATCTACTTTTTACTTTAATAAAAACGGAACTTTCTCGCAATTAATTTTTAATTAATTATGTAATTATTAAGTGCCTAACCGGCGCATATTTCGTAAATAAGTATCTAAATAAATAATTATTATATTATAAAAATTTAAATTATTATATTATACTATTTACTTTATTATATTATCTTCTATTGTAAGAAAAAGAAAAAGAAAAGGAAAAAGAAAAAGAAAAGGAAAAAGAAAAAGAAAAGGAAAAAGAAAAAGAAAAAGAAAAAGAAAAAGAAAAAGAAAAAGAAAAAGAAAAAGAAAAAGAAAAAGAAAAAGAAAAAGAAAAAGAAAAAGAAAAAGAAAAAGAAAAAGAAAAAGAAAAAGAAAAAGAAAAAAGAAAAAGAAAAAGAAAAAGAAAAAGAAAAAGAAAAAGAAAAAGAAAAAGAAAAAGAAAAAGAAAAAGAAAAAGAAAAAGAAAAAGAAAAAGAAAAAGAAAAAGAAAAAGAAAAAGAAAAAGAAAAAGAAAAAGAAAAAGAAAAAGAAAAAGAAAAAGAAAAAGAAAAAGAAAAAGAAAAAGAAAAAGAAAAAGAAAATTAGAATGTTAATAATAAAATAATAATTGTTTAATACTTTTCAGGGTATCGTTGCGAAATCACATTTCCGAAGCATAAAAAAATGAATAAACGATCAACGCAAAAATTTGTCTCTATCCCCTTTAGCGATAGGGAAATTCAACTTTATTTGCATCCAGTTGATGGCTATCTAGTTGGAAAACATACAAAAATTTGGTACGCCATTCCCAATCATAATTCATCCAGTCTATTTAATTTTAGACAAATTCCAGATGTAAGTATTAAATAGTATATTAATAGTAGTAATAAAACAAAAAATAGTAAAAATATTGAAATTAAAATAAAACAAAATAGTAATAATAGTAAAAAAATGCAAAAAATTGTAAAAATAATAGTAAAATAACAAAAAAGGAAAAAATAGTAAGATTAGTTTCAAAAATTCAAAAAAATAGTAAGAATAATAAAAAAATGTAAAAATAATAGAAATAATAGTAGAAAAATAGAAAGAAGAGTACAAAAATGCAAAAAACAGTAAAAATAGTACAAAAATACAAAAAATAATAGAAATAATAATACAAAAATAGTAAGAATAGTACAAAAATAAAAAAAAGAGTAGAATTAGTACCAAAATGCAAAAAAATAGTAAAAATAGTACAAAAATACAAAAAACAGTAAAAATAATAGTAAAATATCAAAAATGGAAAAAATAATAAGATTAGTACGAAAATGCAAAAAAAAGTAAAAATAGTACAAAAATACAAAAAATAATAGAAATAATAATACAAAATAGTAAGAATAGTACAAAAATACAAAAAATAGTAAAAATAATAGAAATAATAATACGAAAATAGTAAGAATAGTACAAAAATACAAAAAATAGTAAAAATAATAGAAATAATAAAACAAAATAGTAAGAATAGTACAAAAATACAAAAAGTAGTAAAAATAATAGAAATAATAATACAAAAATAGTAAGAATAGTAAAAAAATAGAAAAAATAGTAAGATTAGTACCAAAATGCAAAAAATAATAAAAATAGTACAAAAATACAAAAAATTAGTAAAAATAATAGTAAAATAACAAAAATGGAAAAAATAATAAGATTAGTACGAAAATGCAAAAAAATACTAAGATTAGTACAAAAAATAGTAAGAATAATAGAAATTATAGTAAAAAGAATAGTAGGATAGTAAGAATAATAGAAAAATACAAAAAATTGTAAAAATATGAAATAATTTATTTTCTTATTTCGTTACATATACGGGCGTCAAACGAGTTCTTTCCAGACTTTTAATAGTACAAAAATAGTAAGAATAGTACAAAAATTAGTATAATAACAAAAATGGAAAAAATAATGGAAATAATAGTACAAAAATTGAATAAATAGTAAAAATAATAATATAAAAATAGTAAAAATAGTACAAAAATAGAAAAAAATAGTAAGATTAGTACAAAAATGCAAAAAATAGTAAAAATAATAGAAATAATAGAAGAAAAATACAAAAAATAGTAAAAATAATAGTAAAATAAGAAAAATGGATAAAGTAGTAAGATTAGTACAAAAATGCAAAAAATAGTAAAGATAATAGAAATAATAGTCCACAAATACTAAAAATATTAGTAAAATAACAAAAATGGAAAAAATAGTATGTTTAGTAAAAAAAATGCAAAAAATAGTAAAAATAGTAGAAATAATAGTACAAAAATAGTAAAATTACAAAAATGTAATAAATAGTAAAAATAATAGACATAATAGTACAAAAATAGTATAATAACAAAAATGGAAAAAATAATGGAAATAATAGTACAAAAATTGAATAAATAGTAAAAATAATAATATAAAAATAGTAAGAATAGTACAAAAATAGAAAAAATAGTAAGATTAGTACAAAAATGCAAAAAATAGTAAAAATAATAAAATAAAAATAGTAAGAATAGTACAAAAATAGAAAAAATAGTAAGATTAGTACAAAAATGCAAAAAATAGTAAAAATAATAGAAATAATAGGAGAAAAATACAAAAAATAGTAAAAATAATAGTAAAATAAGAAAAATGGATAAAATAGTAAGATTAGTACAAAAATACGAAAAATAGTAAGAATAATAAAAATATTAGTAAAAAAATAGTATCGTAAGAATAGAAGAAAAATACAAAAAATAGTGCCTAAAAATTGTCAAAATAATAGAAATAATAGTAGAAAAATAGTAAGAAGAGTACAAAAATGCAAAAAAGAGTAAAAATAATAGAAATAATAGTACAAAAATAGTAAGAATAGTAGAAAAATACAAAAAATAGTGAGAATAGTAAGAAATAATAAGAAAAATAGTAAAAATGGTAATAATAATAATAATAATAATAATAATAATAATAATAATAATAATAATAATAATAATAATAATAATAATAATAATAATAATAATAATAATAATAATAATAATGTAAGTATTTTTCTATTTCAAGTTTCTGGAGAACATGGAAAAAGAGAATTTTTATATTGATGAATTAAAAAATGCTGTACTTTCTATAACAATAGACGACGATGGCAATGAAGCTTTCGTAAGTGTTGCTTTTCTTTTTCAATAATTTTGTTTTCCAGAAAAATATTTTTAACTATATAAAATAGTTAAAAAAAAATATTTTTCTAGATTTCAATCAAAAATAAAAAAAAAATAACTTTTTTCTATAAAGGAGGGAACAATTGGCGATGATCTCTTAATACATCCAATATCAAGGGACTATTTCCTAAATATGACGTCAAGTCGAGAATTCATGAGATTGAATCATTTTAATAAAAACGATCAACCCCATATTATTTTGCATCGTTCGAAAAAAATTAAAGCACAAAAGTGGGCGAAAAACGGTAAGTTCATTTTTTTTTTTAATTTTTAAACTTTTTTTTTACTACTGATTTTGAAGAAAAACGAGGGGGGAGGGAGAAAAATAATATTTTAATAACAGGAGTTTTAATACAAAAATATAATATATTTTTTAACAATTTTTGCAATTTTCACAGTTAGGGGTGTAAAAAAGATAAATCCAAAATTACCCCCTCAAAGAGACATTGTTGTTTATCCGGAATTACTAATTTTTATTGACGAAGAACTTTTTGGGTGAGTATTGTAAAAAAAAAGAAAAATTTCCTTCTTTTGTATTAAAAATAAATTGTAATTAATTAATAAATTATTATCAACAATAAGAATTAAATAAAAATAAATAATAAATAATATAAATTAATAAATTAATAAATTAATAAATTAAGAAATTAATAGATTAATAAATTAATAAATTAATTAATTAATAAATTAAGTAATAAATAAATTGTAATTTTTCTTTTTTTCAGAAAATTGTACTATAACGCTAGATACGCCATAAGATATATTTTAACAACATTCTACGGGGTGGATTTACTTTTCAGACCTTTATCAAATCCAACAATTCGTTTCTCGATTGCAGGCATCGTTATAGTTAAAGTAAGAAAATTTATAATTTTTTTTTTTTTGGTGGGGGGTTTAATTGAAATGTATTGAATTTTTTACGTTACGTTTCATAAAATTCTAAGCAAAAATTCAATTATTTTAATAAATAATAAAATGTTTTTTAAATCCTCGGCAAAATTTCAATTGCTTTTATAAATAATAAAATTCTTCTTCGAAATTCAATTATTTTCAAAAATTTCCTTAAAATATTCAATTATTAAAAAAAATTTGATAAAAAGTTTTAAGCAAGAATTTAATTATAGAAATAGTAAAATTCATTGAAGAATTTCAATTATTTTTAATGCTATTTTAAATTAATTAATTGATAAATTCAATTATTTTTACAAATAAAGTTTTCCACAATAATTTAATTATTTAAAATAAAATTTTCATTATAATTATTATATTTCGAAAGAACTAATTATTTAAAACAATATTTATAAAATTCTTATCAACAATTCAATTATTTTCAAAAATAATAAAAATTTTGCAATAATTCAATCATTTTCATAAAAATAATAAAATTCTTGTCAGGAATTCAATTATTTTTAACACAATTTTATAGGAATTGCTCGAAAAATGTAATTATTCTTAAAAATTTTAATTTCAATTCCACGAAAAAATCAATTATTTTAAATACAATTTTAATTAAATTTTTCTGTCAATAATTCAATTATTATTTTAGATTTTAATAAAATTCTTCCCAAGAATTCAATTATTTACGTATAAATAATTCTTCCAAAGAATTCAATTATTAAAGATAAATAACAAAATTATTCGCGAAAATTCAATTATTTTGAGGCATTTTAATAAAATTCTTTGCAAAATTCAATTATTTTCACAAATAATAAAATGCTTTTTAGGAATTCAATTATTTTCAAAAAAAAAAAATTTAATTTAATTTAATTGTCACACACAGACATTCAAATATTCTCAAAAATTTTAATAGAATAAATATATATTTATATATTTTTCCATTTCTAGAGTTCAATGGAGTACATTTTATCTGGCGCTTCTCGTAAAAATTCACGGCCACATAAACTAGTAGAGGACTTTGGAAAATTTTTGCCAAAAATAAATAATCAATTTGTATACAAAAAAGATTACGATATTGGTATACTTATGACTGGGTAAGTTAATTGTTAAAAGTTTAAATTAAAAATGACAATTATTGTAAGAGAAAAAAAATGATAATTATTATTTGCAGATCGTCTTTAACAGAAGCAGCAGACGAAGCACCTACAATGGGTATGATATATAGTAATATAATAGTAATATAATAATAATATAATAATAATAATAAAAATAATAGAAATAGAATTAACAATTTCTTGAAAAATAATAATATTCGGCTAAATGTTTATTTATTTAAAAATTTGTTTTAGGTGTTGCATTTATAAAGGGAGTGTGTCAAAACATTACTGAAACAAGCAACGACGCTTACGATGAATTTACAACAGAAGTCTACAAGAGTTCTGTAATTGCTGTTGATAATGCTGCATATGGTGGAATAATGACAGCAACCCATGAATTGGGCCATATGTAAGGCATTTTAAAATTAAATTTATACTATTTATTACAATAGCAATAGGATAAGTTACAAAAGAATAGGATACAATAGAATGCTTTAAAACACAATAGGATAAGATACAGCACAATCGGATCCTTTAAAATACAATGGGATACGTTTAAATAGAATAGGATGCTAAATGATACTTTAAAGCACAATAGGATACAATAGGATTCTTTAAAACACAATATGATACTTTAAAACACAATAGGATACAGTAGGATACTTTGAAACACAATAGGATACAATAAAATACATTACAATATAAAATAATTCAATAGGATACTTTAAAACACAATAGGATGCAATAGGATACGTTACATTATAAAAGAATAAAATAGGATACATTACAATGAGATAGAACACAAGAGGTTACTTTAAAATACAATAGGATAGAATATATTACAATAGGATACTTGAAAAAAAACTATGGAATACATTACAGCACAATAGGTTACAATACGATGCTTAAAAACACAATAGGGAACATTACAATATAATAGAATTCGAATAGGATCTATTGAATACACAATAGAATACTTTAAAGTACATTAGGATAGAATATATAAAAATAGGATACTTAAAAAATACTATAGGATTCATTACAGCACAATAGGATACAGTAGGATACTTTAAAACACAATAGGATACAATAAAATACGTTTAAATATAATAGAATTAAATAGGATACTTTAAAACACAATAGGATACAGTAGGATACTTTAAAACACAATAGGATACAATAAAATACGTTCAAATATAATAGAATTAAATAGGATACTTTAAAACACAATAGGATGCAATATGATACGTTACAATATAATAGTATACAATAGGATACATTACAATAAAATAGAATACAATAGGATAGAATATATTACAATAGGATACTCAAAAAATAATATAGAATACATTACAGCACAATAGGTAACAATTGGATAGTTTAAAACACAATAGGATATAATAGGGTACGTTACAATAAAATATAATCCAATAGGATACTTTAAAACACAATAGGATGCAAAAGGATACGTTAGAGCACAATGGGATGCAATATGATAATATACAAAAAGAAATAATATACAAAAAAAATTACAATATAATAATATACAACAGGACACATTAAAATAAAATAAAATAAAATAAAATAAAATAGAATAGAATGGAATATATTACAATATAATACCAAAAAAAATACTGTAGGATACATTAAAGGACAATAGGATAATTTAAAACACAATAAGGTACAAAAAGGTACGTTACAATATAATAGAATTTAATATGATACTTTAAAACACAATAGGGTGCAATAGGATACGTTAGAGCACAATAGGATGCAATATGATACATTACAATTAAAAAGAACACAATAGGATAATTTAAAATACAATAAGATACAATATGATGCTTTAAAATACAATAGGATGCAATATGATACGTTACAATATAATAGGATAAAATAGGATACATTACAATAAAATATAACACAATAGGATACTTTAAAATACAATAGGATAGAATATATGACAATAGGATACTTGAAAAAAAAACTATGGAATACATTACAGCACAATAGGAAACTATACGATGCTTAAAAACACAATAGGGAACATTACAATATAATAGAATTTAATATGAAACTTTAAAACACAATAGGATGCAATATGATACGTTACATTATAATAATATACAATAGGATACATTACAATCAAATAGAAAACAATAGGATAGAATATATTACAATAGGATACTTAAAATAGGATACGTTAGAGCATAATAGGATGCAATAGGATACATTACAAATATTAGAGGATATAATAGCCTACAATATGATACTTTAAAACACAATAGGATGCAATAGAATACGTTACAATATAATAAGATAAAATAGGATAAATTACAAAAAAATATAACACAATATGATACTTTAAAATGCAATAGGGTAAAAGATATTACAATAGGAAACTTAAAAAATACTATAAGATACATTACAGAACAATAGGATACAATAGGATACTTTAAAACACAATAGGATGCAATAGGATACTTTATAATATGATAGGATACAATAAGATACGTTAGAGTGTAATAGGTTGCAATAGGATACGTTACAATATAATAGGATACATTACAACAAAATAGAACACAATATGATACTTTAATAAAATAGGACTGAATATATTACAACACAATACTTTAAATACAGTAGGCTACAATAGGGTACGTTACAATATAATAGAATTCAATAGGATACTTTAAAACACAATAGGATGCAATAGGATACGTTAGAGCACAATGGGATGCAATATGATACGTTACAATATAATAATATACAATAGGATACATTACAATCAAATAGAAAACAATAGGATAGAATATATTACAATAGGATACTTAAAATAGGATACGTTAGAGCATAATAGGATGCAATAGGATACATTACAAATATTAGAGGATATAATAGCCTACAATATGATACTTTAAAACACAATAGGATGCAATAGAATACGTTACAATATAATAAGATAAAATAGGATAAATTACAAAAAAATATAACACAATATGATACTTTAAAATGCAATAGGGTAAAAGATATTACAATAGGAAACTTAAAAAATACTATAAGATACATTACAGAACAATAGGATACAATAGGATACTTTAAAACACAATAGGATGCAATAGGATACTTTATAATATGATAGGATACAATAAGATACGTTAGAGTGTAATAGGTTGCAATAGGATACGTTACAATATAATAGGATACATTACAACAAAATAGAACACAATATGATACTTTAATAAAATAGGACTGAATACAGTACCGTCCGAAATTGTCAGTCCGCCCATTTTTAAAAGAATGAAAAAAATTTTTTAACATAAAATTTATGAAAACTCAAATTTTTTTTGGTTTATATTTTGAAAGACGATAAAATTTTGAAAAGAATAAGACCTCACAAAAGTCATTTGGACAAAATTTGTAGAAGATATTCTTAAAAATCGTCATTTTCAATGTTTTACAAAAATTTCAATAACTTCTAAAATAATGAACGCTTTTTAATAATCTTAGGATTATTTTAAAGGTCATTTTCTACGGAATAAGAATTACTTATAGGCATTAACCTGTAATTTTTTATTTGGAATCAGCATGACGTCAAAGTTGAACAAAAAAATTGGAAAAATTTGAAATAAATTTTTTGTACTAAAAACTATTCTAGAACATATATAAAACATGATATGGTGTAGATCTTTCAAGAAAATTTAATAAAAAAATATGTTTGAATTTTAAAAATTATTTTTCTTTTAAAAATATTATTCCAAATTTTTTGAATTTTTTTGTTCAACTTTGACGTCATGCTTATTCTAAATAAAAAATTACAGGTTAATGACTATAAGTAATTCTTATTCCGTAGAAAATGACCTTTAAAATAAGCCTAAGATTATTAAAAAGCGTTCATTATTTTAGAAGTTATTGAAATTTTTGTAAAACATTGAAAATTACGATTTTTAAGAATATCTTTTACAAATTTTGGCCAAATGACTTCTGTAAGGTCTTATTCTTTTCAAAATTTTATCTTCTTTCAAAATATAAACCAAAAAAAATTTTAGTTTTAATGAATTTTATGTTAAAAAATTTTTTTCATTCTTTTAAAAATGGGTGGACTGACAATTTCGGACGGTACTGTATATTACAACACAATACTTTAAATACAGTAGGCTACAATAGGGTACGTTACAATATAATATAATTCAATAGGGTACTTTAAAACACAATAGGATGCAATAGGATACGTTAGAACACAATAGGATGCAATAGAATTCGTTACAATATAATAGGATACAATAGAATATTATAAAGCACAATAGGATGCAATAGAAAAGAATACAATAGGAAACTTTAAAACACCATATGATACGTTACAGCACAATAGGATACGATAGGTTAATTTAAAAAACAATAGGATACAATAGGATACAATAGGATACGTTAAAATAGAATAGAATAGAATATATACAATACTATATAGAAAATTAGAAAAATGATATATAATACAATACAACATAATTAAATCTAAACAAGTATACAATAAATATAATATTGTCCAATTTAGACTGGGTGCTTCTCATGATACAAACAAGCATAAAGAGTGTGAGTGGGGTGACAGTGGCTATATAATGAGTTACTCTGGCGGATACAGCAACAGAATAAGATTTTCCCCATGCAGTCAACGACAAATTTCAAAAACTTTACTGTAAGTGAAAAAATTTGAAGAAAATTAATTAATTAATTAATTAAATAAAAAATAAATTTAATTAAATGACAGAAATATAAATATATATTCTTTTTTTTTTTGTCTAGATCGAAAGGTGCAAAATGTGTTTATAATCCACCACCTAAAGATGAACCACTGAATGTACCATTGCCTGGTAAATTAACCACAATGGATGATCAATGTTTTAAAAACGATAAAACTAGTTTTTGTGCCATTAGAAAGGTATTATTATTATTATTTGAATTTATTATTCTATTTTTTTCTAATTGCTATATTGGTTTTATTCAAATTATTTGTTTTTCTTTATTATAATTATTATCTAAAAAAAATTATTTTTTTTTTATTATTATATTTTGTTACTTTTTTTTCTTTTATTAGTACTTTTTTAGTGTTATTTTTCTTTTTTTCCTTTATTGTTATTTTTTCTTACTTTCCTGCCTTTATTACCTTTTTTTTATTATTATTATTTTAACATTATTAAATATATATTTATTTTAAATAAATAATTATAATTTTTTTATTTATTCATTATTTTTATTTTTGCTTTCAGGACGATCCGTATCGTTGTGTAAAACTTATTTGCGAAAATTCAAATATTACGGCAAGAGCAGAAGAACCTTGCACCGAACAATATTTTGCACCAGCTGAAGGCACACCATGTGGAAATAATAAAGTAATAAATAATTTTTGTAGAATATTATTTTTCATATCTTTTTTTGTTATTTTTTATCTTTTAAAAGATAAGAGAAAATAATTTTTATAATACATTTAAATTACAAAATAAAATCATGTATAACTTTTTTTTTTTTGCTTCATACAAATTACAAAAAAAAAAAAAATTAATTTGGAAAAAAATAATAATTTATTGATGAAATTTTTTTTTTCTTTTTACAGATTTGTCTTCATGGAGAATGCGTTAACAAACCATCGACAATGGATTATAACAAAAAAAAATATTATGATAAATATAAATATAATATTGTGTAATTATTTATTTACATAGGGGATAAGAAAATTTTTTTTTTATTTATAATAATATTTATTATTTTGTAAAAACCGTTTGTATTGAAAACATAAAATTTATACAAAAATTATTGTTCTTAATTGAAGTGTTTATTTCTTGTAATATTTTTTAAAATATTAAATAAAAAACTGCACAAAACTATTAAATTTTTTTAGTATTTTTAGTGTTTTTTATGAATTTTTTGGTATTCAGTTTTTTTTTAGTATTTTGAAATAATTTTTACAATTTTAGTATTCTTTTTTACTATTTTAGTATTTTCTAATATTTTAATATAAGTATTGAATGTTTTTTTTGGTAATTTTGGGTAATTTGGCATTTTTTACTATTTTAGTATTTTTAGGTATTTTAGTGTGTTTAGGTATTTTTTGGTATATTTTGGAATATTTTTTAGTATTTTAGAATTTTTTAATATTTTAATATTTTTTTTTCTATTTAAGGATATTTTTTACTATTTTAGTATTTTTAGGTATTTTTTTGGAACTTAGTATTTTTTGTTATTTTGGAATATTTTTTAGTATTTTAGAATTTTTTAATATTTTCTTTTTTTTTCTTGTATTTTGGCATATTTTTTACTATTTTAGTATTATTTGGTAATTTGCCATTTTTTACTATTTTAGTATTATTTGGTAATTTGTCATTTTTTACTATTTTAGTATTATTAGGTATTTTAATGTTATTAGGTATTTTTTTGGATTTTAGTATTTTTTTGGTATTATGGAATATTTTTTAGTATTTTACTATTTTTTTTCAATTTTAGTATTTTTTATTATTTTAGTATTTTAGCATTTTTTACTATTTTAGAATTTTAAATATTTTAATTTTTTTTTATTTTAGCATATTTTTTACTATTCTAGTATTTTTTGATAATTTCGCATTTTTTACTGTTTTTAGATATTTTTTGGATTTAGTATTTTTTTGGTATTTTGGAATATTTTTTAGTAGGCATATTACTATTTTTTTTTACAATTTTAGTATTTTTTTTTTATTATTCTAGTATTTTGGAATTTCTTATTACTTTGGTATTTTAGCATTTTTTACTATTTTAGAATTTTTTAATATTTTAATATTTTTTTTTATTATTTTTTTTTGTATTTTGGCATATTTTTTACTATTTTAGTATTTTTTGGTAATTTGGCATTTTTGGAATATTTTTTAGTATTTTAGAATTTTTTAATATTTTAATATTTTTTTTTGTATTTTAGGATATTTTTTACTATTTTAGTATTTTTAGGTATTTTTTTGGAACTTAGTGTTTTTTGTTATTTTGGAATATTTTTTAGTATTTTAGAATTTTTTAATATTTTCTTTTTTTTTTCTTGTATTTTGGCATATTTTTTACTATTTTAGTATTATTTGGTAATTTGTCATTTTTTACTATTTTAGTATTATTAGGTATTTTAATGTTTTTAGGTATTTTTTTGGATTTTAGTATTTTTTTGGTATTATGGAATATTTTTTAGTATTTTACTATTTTTCAATTTTAGTATTTTTTTATTATTTTAGTACTTTAGCATTTTTTACTATTTTAGAATTTTTTAATATTTTAATATTTTTTTAATTATTTTTTTTGTATTTTGGCATATTTTTTACTATTTTAGTATTTTTTGGTAATTTGTCATTTTTTACTATTTTAGTATTACCTATTAGGTATTTTAGTGTCTTTAGGTATTTTTTTGGTATTTTGGAATATTTTTTAGTAGGTATTTTACTATTTTTTTTTACAATTTTAGTATTTTTTTTTATTATTTTAGTATTTTGGAATTTCTTATTACTTTGGTATTTTAGCATTTTTTACTATTTTAGAATTTTTTAATATTTTAATATTTTTTTAATTATTTTTTTTTGTATTTTGGCATATTTTTTACTATTTTAGTATTTTTTGGTAATTTGTCATTTTTTACTATTTTTAGGTATTTTTTGGATTTAGTATTTTTTTGGTATTTTGGAATATTTTTTAGTAGGTATTTTTCTATTTTTTTTTACAATTTTTTTTTTTGTTATTATTTTAGTATTTTGGAATTTCTTATTACTTTAGTATTTATTTTTAGTTCTGTATATATAATAATAAATATTTAATTATATATATTTATAATAATTATTTTTTTATTTATCTCCCTTTATTTAACTACTAGGATTTATTTATATAAACTTTTCTTAGTATTTTTAAAATTTGTCAATTTTTCCTCTCAATTTATTTATTTTCTCATCACACTTTAAGTTTATATTTTATAATGAAAAAAAAAAGACTAATAATTGATCAGGTAATTAAATAAATTGAAAAGTGATGTTAAACACAATGATTCGATGATATATAATTGATGAAAATGATTAACACTTAAACAAAACAATCGCTGATTAATTAACTGGGCACGTGTCAAGTTTTAATATTCCGGTCATTATTCACTATATTTTTGCATGACGTCGACGACAAATTTAAAAATCGTATCGTCTCAACATAATTTTCATATATCATCAATGTAGACAAGAAAGAAAAACATCAACACACTTAGACTTCTCTCTCTCTCTCTCTATATATATATATATATATATATATATATATTTCTTTATTGTTATTTTTCTCTTCTATATGTAAAATATATATGTATATACATATAGTATTACTTAAAAGCTGTGAAAACTTGTTCAATCAATTACAAAATAAACGCGCATTTTATTTAATTTATCTGACGATTTTCCATCAATCGGAATGCATGTACAATATATAAAAGGAAAAATAGAATGTCATTAAAACGCACAAAAGGTACAACAATATTCAAAAATGTTAGTGTGGGAATTTTTTTTACTATAATATAGTAAAAAAAAATTTTTTTTTTTTCGAAATAATAAATTATTTTTGAAAAGAAAAAAATTTCTATTATTATTTTCGATTTAATTATATTGTAATTAAATCGAAAATAATAATTTAATAAATAAAAAAATTTTAAAAAAATATAAAATAATAAAAAAAAATAATAAAAAAAAATAAATAAATAAAAAAAATAAAAATAATGATATAAATATAATATAATGTCTGTTTAGTATTTTAATAAATATTTTTGAAAATAATTGAATTCCTGAAAAATATTTTATTACTTATGAAAATAAAATTGAATTCTTACGAACGATTTTATTAGAATTTTTAAAAATAATTGAATTTTCAAGAAGAAATTTATTATTTTTGAAAATAATTCCATTCTTGTGACGAATATTGAGATTTATATTCGAAAATAATTTAATTTTGCAAAGAATTTTATTAAAATGCCTCAAAAATAATTTAATTTCCAGGAATAATTTTGTTATTTTTTAAAAATAATTGAATTCTTTCAAAGAATTTGAATATTTATGAAAATAATTGAATTCTCGGGACGATTTTTATTAAAATCTAAAAAAATAATTGTATTATTTCAAAAAAAAAAAAAAAAAATTTAATTAAAATTTTTATTCAAAATAAGTGATTTTTTTCGAACATGTTTATTACAATAATTGAAAATAATTGAATTCTTCCAAAGAATTGAAAAAAAAAACATTTTTTTTAATAATTGATTTTTTCGTGTAATTGAAATTAAATTTTTACGAATAATTACATTGTTCGAGCAATTTCTGAAAAATTGTATTATAAAAAATAATTGAAATCCTGCAATGAATTTTATTATTTATGAAAATAAATAAATAATTGAATAGTTGCAAAGAATTTTATTAAAATTTTCAAAAATAATTGAATTCCTGAAGAAGAATTTTATTATTTATATGGAAATAATTGAATTAATGCGAAAAATTCTTTTAAAATGTTAAAAAAGAATTGAATTCCTTTAAAAAAAATTTGTTATTTTAGAAAATAATTGAATTCTTCATAAGAATTTTTGGCTAACGTTGTAATTTATTAATTAATTTTTAAAGAAATAAAATTAATATTATGAAAATTTTTATTTTAAATAATTGAATTCTTATGGTAACATTTTTTGTGAAAATAATTGAATTTTGCAAAGAATTTTATTAAAGTTCCTGAAAATAATTGAATTTTTTTGAAGAATTATTTATGTAAATAATTGGGAAGAATTTTGTTAAAAATTTAAAAAAATAATTGAATTATTTAAAAAAAAGTTGAATTAAAAATAATTATCATCCTGCGATGAATTTTATTATTTATGCGAAAATAATTGAATAGTTATTAATTTCTAAGAATTTTAATAAAATATTCCAAAAGAATTGAATTTCTGTGGAAAATTTTGTTATTTTCGAAAATAATTGAATCGTTTCAAAAAAATTTTATAAACATTTTTAAATAATTTATTTTTTCAAAATATAACAAAGATTATTAAAAAATTTAATTTTAAATAATTGAATTCTTGTGGAAAACATTATTTTGTGAAAATAATTGAATTTTGGATGAATTTTATCATTTTTTTTTGCTTAAATATAATTGAATTCTTTATAATGCGAAATTTGATGAAAATTCTAAATATTGAAAATAGATGAATTTCGAATATTTTTTTTTTGAAAATAATTGAATTTTATAATTAAAAAATAAAAAATGATTAAAGTAAAAATAAAAATACTAAATTAAATTATAATAAAAATTAAAAAAAATTCCCTAATATAATAATTTATAAATAAATAAATTTCTTCAAATTGAAAAAAAAAAAAAAAAAAAAAAAAAAAATGACGAATTACAGTGAAACCTGTCGTTAGGAGAAAAATGAAATACAACACAGACAAAACCTAATGAATTCATTAGGCAATTAATAAAAGTTTCATTGGCGTATTTATTGGATTTTTCATTTTATTCATTAAATTCATTTTATAATTGCCTCTATTTTGTAGGACTGGAATAAAAATAATTGGCTTGTGAAAAATGTGGAGATATTATATTGCGGAAAGATGTCTGGCGACATAGTGAGAAAACAATATTATATTTGTGTCTGTGTGTGTTGTGTGAGTGAATGTTTGAGAAAAGACCGGCCCCGTCGCGCTCTCAACAAATACCAGTGGTTTTTCGATCATTCCCCAACGCGCGAGGAACTTGGA